GCAATGCCTTCTGAGCTTGGAGGTGGGGCTTAGTGCTGGGGTGTTAAAGGGGAGGTGTCTGGCAGGATTCCTTGCAGGGCAGGGCCATAGAAACACGCCTATTGCAATGGGCAGGGCACAGCCTCTGTTAGCTGATCTTTGAAGGTGGTCTTCTATGGCAGCACTCAGGAGCTGAGGGAGTTGTGAGAGAGGGGGATGGAAAAGTTGGAAGCCTTTCCCTTTTGGTGTGTTGTTGCCAGGCAGTGCAGCAGGAGCAGGAAGAATGTGTTGCTGTTCTGCTGGAACACGGTGCCAACCCCAATCTGGCAGACGCTGACGGCAACACTGCCCTTCACCTGGCTGTGCTCTCTAAAAACACAGCTGTAGCAGGGCTGTTACTGGAGCATCATGCCAACAGTGATGCTCAGAACCAGGTAACCTTGGCACGTGGCTAAAGCTGCTCTTTCCAAGAGCTGCAGAGCTTGTCTGTGTCTTTCTAATGGGGATTCTTTCTCCTTTTAGTGGGGATTTACCCCCTTGAAACTTGCAGCCTTGCAACAGCACGAGGAGATTCTGGAGTGCCTTGTGAACAAAGCAGCTGACAGGCCTGCTCAAGCCCAGGGGGAAAGGTGAGGGCTTTGTCAAAACAGCCCCCGGGTGTTCTGGGTAGTCTGCAAGTGTGACCCAGACGAGGGGCGTGGCAATGAGCTGGGCAAAAGAAGGAGCAGCCCCGTGTAAGCAGTTCCCCGTGGGACTGGTAAATGCAGGTCTGCCCTTGGCTGCTCTCCTACCTCAGGGGCTCTCGTCCTTTGCCCGCTGAGGTCTGCAAGAAAGCCTTGTCTGTGGTGCCCTCTCCCCACCCAGAGCCAGAGCCCCGGGGAAACTTGCCAGTAGCTCAGCAGCGTGGCTGCTCTGCAGGCCAGGGGGGTTTAAGGCACGGCAGAGTTGGGGCGTTCAGTGCTCTGAAGGGAAGCGTTGGGGGAAAGAGAAGCAACACTGTCCCAGGGGACACGAGGGGCTCCGAGCACAGAAGGAGAAAACTTCCTGCCATGGAGATGGTCAGGGGGTCGAAGGGCTTGCCCTGGGAGTTTGTGCAGCCGCATGTGGGGGGACTTTGAAGAGCAGTGCAAGGAGCCCTGAACAGCACAGCCTGAGCTGGTAGTTGAGGCTGCTTTAGGGAGGCCCCTTGTAAGAGAAATTCTCCAATGCTTCCATGGACTTGGCTTTGCTTTCATGGAGCTTGTAGGAAAGGGGGGAAGAGCTGTTTTGGGAGCAAGCAGGGGAAAACTGATGCAGGGTCAGACACGTTTCTGATGAAATTTTGCATGCTTTAGGACTGCTCTTGTGGTTCCTGGAAGCCACGAAGCTCACCTGGAGGAAGATAATCTGCGCTTGCAGGAGGAGCTGGACAGGGCTGGCGCGGAGGTATGGAAAGCCTGTCCCCACAGGGAGAAACCTGGGGGTGCCTGTTGCTTCCTCTCCATCCTGAAAACGGACAAAACAGTGTTCAGTGTGTTCATTGGGGAGTAGAAGTGAAGCTTTGAAGGGACTTGAATGGATTTCAGTTCTTTGGGCAGAGGGGATGCACACAGACATGCAGCACCTGAGTTCTTCAGCAGCAGCTGGCTCCTCTCTGGAAAAGCTCCCCTGACAACTGTGGATTCTTCCCGTGGTTTTACAGCTGCAGGAGGAGGAAGAAAAGCATCTTCAGTCTGAGCATTGTGTTCCTGACTTGAAGACTGCCTTGGATGCCAAGAAAAGAGAGGCAGTAAGTTCTTCCCAGGAACTGCAGGACCTCCTGTTGGCATCTTGTGAGACCAATCCGACTGTGAACCAACTGGAAGAAGACGCGCAAGAGTAAGAGAGGAACCCAGTGAAGCGAGGGGTCTGTGGCTTTGGGGATTGGGTGGAAACAGGGGGAGAGTCAGTGGGATTTTGAAGGACACTTCTGCTGTGGCTTCTGTTCCTTAGCACAGTTTGTCTGGCATTGGCTTTTCTGGTAATAAGAGCTGTATTTCTTCTTAAGCTTTGCAAGTGAGAACAGCAGATTGGAAGCCACTGTCCAGCAGCCAAGCGAGAGCGTTGAAGCCCTTCCGAGAGCCCTGCAAGCCTCTGCCTCAGTAAGCTGGTGCTAAATTTGCCTTTTTGTGACTCTTGAGCCTAGTTGCCTATTTCTGTGGGGCAACTGTCAGATGAAGTTTTCCTGGAGAGCCTGGGGAGCTCAGTTTGTGCCTTCTCCTCAGCAGAGGCTGCTCAGAAAGCAGCCTGGTCCTTTCCCCAGCTGCTACAAAAGCCCTGAGGGTATTTGGTGTGCTGGACACTGGAGGAATTCTTAGATTCTAAATGAGGAGTTTCATCATGAGCTCCAAGGGACCCAGAAGTATTGTTGCCAGAAGTGTCTCCCAAATTCTTAAGTAGGTGTAAAGTTTCTTCTTTCTGTCGGGGAATCTTTCAAGTGTTTTCTAGGCTGGTTTCCAGTAGATGATAAATACAGTTGCCATGGCCACCCCCTTGAGAGGTTTTCCCAGAATTCACTGCCTTTAGATCACGCTGAGTTTCCTTTTCTTTTATTTCTCTGTGCACAGGGTGGTGAACTTTCCCAGCAGCTGGACATGGAGCCTGGAACAGGCATGCAGCTCGAGGCCCTAAACCAGGCTGTGCAAGAAGAGCTGTCCACTCTGCTTGGGAGGTGTGAACAACTGGAGAAGAGCAAATGTCAGCTGCAAGAAGAGGTGACAAAACACCACCATCATTTGGAGACTTTGGTGCTGGATGGCAGCCAAAGAGAACAGTGTACAGGAGAGGTGGCAGAAGGAGCTGACCAGGAAAGAAGTCCAAAGCCACAAGAGGTCAGCCTCGTTTTGCAAGTAAGTGAATTTCTCCCCAGTGTCCACAGGCTCTTCATTAGGAGCTTTGAAGCAGAGTGCTCATTTGGGCTTCTTTCCCACTGCAAAGAATTGTTTGCCCTGGTAGCTCCTGGGTTCTGCCTTGGTTGCTGCTGGGAGTGAGGAGGCAGAGCCGCCTCTCTGAGTCAGGCTGGGCCCTTGAAAGTGGGTGGGTGCAATTTTGTGCTGGGCAGAGCTCTCTTTTTCTTGTGGTGGTTGAAGGTGCACTGTCTCCTTCAGGCACAGGCAGCCCACCAGGCCCCACTAGGACAAACCAGAGACAGTCATTGTGATTTCGTGAGAATCCAGTTGGAAGAAAGAATTAGAAATCTGGAAAGTGAATTGGAGAGGGTCAAAAACACCCAACAAGAGAGAGCTTCTCGTAAAGAAGCAACGCAGGGAGGGATGGAAATGTACAAAGAGCTGTATCTGGAGGAAGTGAAAACCAGAAGATGCCTTGCCAAGAAACTGGAAAGGTAAGTCCTTGCTTGTTTGGAGTGGTAATAAGAGAGTCCTTTTTCTTCCTGCATTTTCCTTGGGAATCCATCTTCTCCATCTGGCCAGCATTATTGCCCTCCATTGGCCAACAGGGTCTGATGGAGTTGCCAAGACCCTCTCCTTGATATTTGAAAAGTCGTGGCAGTCAGGGGAAGTCCCAGGTGAGGGGAAAAAGGGAAACCCACTGTGCCCATCTTTGGAAGGGGTAGAAAGGAGGGCCCTGGGAACTGCCAAGGTGTCAACCTGCCCTCTGTGCCTGGGGAGGTGATGGAAAAGATCCTTCTAGAAGCTCTGTCAAGGCACGTGGATGACAGGGAGGTGATTGGAAGCAGCAGCACAGCTTCCCCAAGGGCAAGTGCTGCTTGACCGACCTGGTGGCCTTCTAGGATGGAGTGACTGCCTCAGTGGACAAGGGCTACCCATGTCATCTCCCTGTCATTCTGGGAAGCCTTTGACACAGTCCCCCACAACATCCTTCTCTCCAAAGTGGAGAGAGAAGGATTCAATGCGTGGACTGTTAGATGGATAAGAAATTGGGTGAACAGTGCCATGCAGAGGTGGTGATCAATGGCTCAGAGTGCTGAGGGCCATCAGTGCCGAGTGGTGTCCCTGAGGGGTCTGGATTGGGCCCAGTGTTCTTTAATCTCTTCACTAATGATCCAGAGGAAGGGCTGGAGTGCGCCCTCAGCAAATTTGCAGCTGACACCAAGCTGAGGGGTGTGGTTGACACAGCTGATGCCATCCAGAGGGCCCTGGACCAGCTGGAGAAGTGGGCCCATGGCAATCTGCTGATGGTTTACCAAGAGCCAGTGCAAGCTGCTGGCCGTGGCTCAGGGCAGCCCCTGTATCAGTGCAGGCTGGGGGATGAAGAGGGGCAGAGCAGCCCTGCCGAGAAGCCCTTGGGCTGGAGGAGAGGCCGGACATGAGCCGGCGATGTGCGCTCGCAGCCCAGAGAGCCAATTGTGTCCTGGGCTGCGTCCAAGGCAGCGTGGCCAGCGGGTGGAGGGAGGGCATTCTGCCTCTCTGCTCTGCCCTTGGGAGAGCCCAGCTGGAGGGCTGCATCCAGCTCTGGGCTCCTCAGCACAGCAAGGACCTCCAGCTGTTGGACTGAGTCCAGAGGAGGCCACCAAGGTGCTTGGAAAGATGGAGCACCTCTGCTAGGAGGAAAGGCTGGGACAATTGCAACACTTCAGCCTGGAAAAGAGAAGGCTTTGGGGTGACCTAACTGTGGCCTTTTGGGGTGTGAAGGGAGCCCACAAGAAGGATGAAGAGAGTGCATTTAAAAGAGCAGGTAGTGAGAGGACAAGGGGGAATGGCTTCAAACGGAAAGAGAATAGTTTTAGATTTGATCCTGGGAAGAAATTGGTTGCTGTGAGGGTGGTGAGGAACTGCAACCGGTTGCCCAGAGAAGCTGTGGATGCCCCATGGCTGGAAGTGTTCAAGGCCAGGTTGGATGGGGTTGTGAACAAGCTGGTCTGGTGGAAGGTGTCCCTGCCCAGAGCAGGAGGCTTGGAACTGGATGATCTTTAAGGTCCCTGCCAAGCCAAGCCATTCTAGGCTTGGATGCTGTCTGTGCTGTTTCTGTGAGACTGTAGGGGAAAGGCTGGTTCTTCCTGTGTTCCATGGTTTTCTTGACTAATTTGCTGTGCAGGCTGGAAAAGCTTCTGAGGATAGAGAGCAGGAAACTCCGGGTTAATGAAGAGAAAGGAAGTCAGTCCCAGCTGGAAGAAATGAAGAAGAGATATTCTGAAAAGGTCAAGGAAGTTGATAGATTCCAAAGAGAGGTGAGCTGCTCTCTGGGTGGGGCTCTTTGGTTGTGGTGTTCCTTCTTTTGAAAGCAGGGAGATGCTTTCCCTCTATTTCCTATCATGTGGATGTTTTTACTCCCTTGTCTGCATTTTGGATGTGATGGGCTTTTCTTAATGCTCCTCCTGCTGTTCCAGTGGGAGATGACTCGAACTAATCCGGGGTAGTTCTCCTTCTGGGGAAAGATGCAAATGTTGAGGGCAAAGCAGTAGGTGTAAGGGCATCCCTGTAGAATGGCTTCCTGCCTTTGCAGTGATTCCTTTGGAGTCCAGAAGCTTGGAGCATTTTTGCATGAGGAACTCCAAAAGGATGGGAAGCTGAGGAATCCCGTGAAAAATGATGGGAAAGCTGTTCTTGCTGGAAAAGAAAAGCCTGGTTGCACTTTGTGTCTAGTCCTGAGCCAGCAGATGATGAATAAAGTCTCCCTGGTCACCCCCTTTTGAGGTTTTCCAGGAATTCACTGCCTTTACACCACGCTGAGTTCCTTTTTTGTTCCTTCTGTCTGCAGGTTGCTGAACTTTCCCAGCAGTTGGACAGGGAACGTGAACAGTGCACGCAGCTGGAGGCCAAAAATCAGGCTTTGCAAGAAGAGCTGTCTGCCCTGCGTGGGGAGTGCGAGAACCTGGCCCTGGACAAATGCCAGCTGCAAGAAGAGCTGGCAAAACTCCACCATCATTTGGAGACCAACGTGGTGGATCGCAGCCAACTCGAACAGTGTAAAAGAGAGGTGGAAGAACGAGCAGACCAGGAAATAAGACAAAAACTCCAAGAAGTCAATGAGTTTTTGCAAGTAAGTGAATTTCTCCCCAGTGTCCACAGGCACTTCCTAAACTTCTCTTGTGGCCATGGTGTTTGGGCTTTTTCTTTTGCTCCTGTGTTCTGTGGGTTAGCTTCTATCTTTGCTGAAGGCAGTGGCAGAAGGCAATCTGGTTGGGCAGGAGTGCTGTCATGGGTGTGGAATGTGCCGGCAGGTCCCTGAATGCAAAGGCTGCCCAAGGCAGATTCCCACTTTGCAGTGCTTGGGGGGATCTCTGTGCGCTGCTCTGCTTCTCACTGCTCATCCTTGGATGGGTTTGGCAACTTGCAGCTGTCATGGCCAGACCTACAGGTGCTGCTTTGTCCTTGGAGGGGGTGAAAGTGCTCAGAAAAGGAGTCACTGAAATTCCAGGGATAGGAGGGAGGGGGTGGAGGTGGATGTGGAAGCTCTTCTTGTCTTTGAAGAATCCTTTTGGACATGCCCTGTCCTACAGACCCAGTGTCTCTTCATTAGTAGCTTTGAAGCAGAGTGCTCATTTGGGCTTCTTTCCCACTGCAAAGAATTGTTTGCCCTGGCAGCTCCTGGGTTCTGCCTTGGTTGCTGCTGGGAGTGAGGAGGCAGAGCCGCCTCTCTGAGTAAGGCTGGGCCCTTGAAAGTGGGTGTGTGCAATTTTGTGCTGGGCAGAGCTCTCTTTTTCTTGTGGTGGTTGAAGGTGCACTGTCTCCTTCAGGCACAGGCAGCCCACCAGGAGACATTAGAAGAAATCAGAACCAGTCATGTGGACTCACTGAAAAAACAGTTAGAAGACAGAATTAGAGATCTGGAACGTGCACTGGGAAGGACAAAAAGCAACCAAGCAGAAAGACCTTTTCAAAAGGAATCCACCCAGGCAGAAGTGGACAAGTACAAAGAGCTGTATCTGGTGGAAGCCCAAAGAAGAAAAAGCCTCGCCAAGAGACTGGAAAGGTAAGTCCCTGCTTTTTTGGACTGGTAAGAACAGACTCCTTTTTCCTCCTGCATTTTCCTTGGAAATCCCTTTTCTACATCTGGCCAGCGTCAGGTGTGAAAGCAGAACGTGGCATCTTTGTGGGGAAAGTTCCTTCAGAGCCTTCCCTTCCTCAGACCTGTCTTCCTTTCTCTTTAGAGTTCCAGCAGTAACCCCACAGCAGCACCACTCTGGCATTATTGGTGTCTTTTCAAGTTGAGGTTGTTTTAGCAGGCAGTCTTTTTGCCAGTCTCAACTCTCCTCATCCTGTGGGTGACAGAGAAGATGAATCTTGTGCCCTTTCCTGTTTGAATAAGGAGAGGCCTCTGGGAGAAGAGAGTTGGATTCTGTGAATCCAAAATAAGGCGGCTCTTTCTTGGCTTCTGTTTTGGCAGCGGGTCTGAGGGTTGAGCTTTCCTTGAGAAGGCCAGGGTAGCCCAGAGTTCTTCTGGAGGTGACACTGCCTACTCCTTGCACTTGGTGTGATTTCTTAGAAACAGGCCCTGTGAACAAGCTCAGATCAAAGGATGTGCTGGGTTTGGACGCTCTTCATGCCCTTGGCTTTTAGAAGTCGAGTAGTAGCCAAGGATGTGGAGGGTAACTTTGCGAAAGCCTTCCTGCCAAAGATGACTCTGTGTGTGCTTGTGAATGTTTCAGAGCTACTGAGAGACTTGCAGTGGCCAACACCAAGCTCTTTTTGGAGCGCCACAGAAGCAGATCTGCGGTCACAAGCAGCGCTGTCAGCGGACTTCTGGCTGCAAGTCCACTTCTGGATTCACCTGGCCTGGGACATGTTGGCATCAGTTTGGGACTGAGCAGAAGTCTGGCTCTCAGAACACCACCCAGACACCTGTTGTAAAGCCCAAGACTTCTGCTCATCAGGTTGGTACAGATTTTCCAGAGTGGTCAAAGGCCCAAAAAGGTTGAAATGGAAGCAATGAGCTGTGGAACTCCATTCTTTTCCAAGAGAAACTGTGGGCAAGAGCTCTGTGGCACAGGAACCTCCCACCTAAGTTCTACCCTAAATTTACACGTAGTAATCTTCTGTAGTCTGTGGGGTTTGGCAGGAAGCCAACTCCAACTGGCTACAGATGGTTTTGGTGTCAGAAGTGGGATTGTTTTGGTTCCTTTGGTTTTGTTGTGGGAACATTGTCTGGGAAAGCTGCCAAGAGCAGGTTTGTTTTGTAAACATCCACCATTGTTTTGGGACACTCCTGGGAGAGCTGCCAAGAAGGATTTTGTTTATCTAAACATAGCTTTGTTTAGGAAGAAGGAGAAAGAAAAATAATAACAATGGCCTTTTTCCTAATTTTATTCCTGATTCTTGCTGGTTTTGTGCCTGTCCTAGGACATCCTGTGAGGGACCGTTCAGATGGATGGAACGAATTGCTTCCTTTCCTTAATTTCGACACCCACGGCCTAGTAGCCAGTTTCCTTAATGGTGGCCTTCAAGGTTTGGTAGCAAAGACTCCAAGATCAGCTCTAACCCATCCCTACATTGCTCAGCGACAATGATCCTAGTGGTGAAGGCAGCGAAACTGCTACTTAAAATTGGAGAGGTGGTGCTGCATTGGTCCCCTTGTTGTACGAAAGGAATCGCTGGAGCTTTGGGGACAAGAAGTGCCAACGGCCACGACAACTGTACACAGGCAACAGTATCGGAGGAACCGAGATGCTGTGACCCCCATCCATCCATCCAGTACATCCATGACATCATTGTGGGGGGGACACAGCAGAAGAAGTTTTCGAGAAAGGACAGAAGATCATCCAGATTCTCCTCGAGGCTGGTTTTGCCATTAAGAAGAGTAAGGTCAAGGGCCCTGCCCAAGAGATCCAGTTCCTAGGGCTGAAATGGCAAATGGACGACACCAGATACCAACAGACGTCCTCAACAAGATTGTAGCAATGGCTCCACCCACAAACAAGAAAGAAACCCAAGCTTTTCTGGGAGCCATTGGCTTCTGGAGGATGCACATCCCAGAGTACAGCCAGATGGTGAGCCCTCTTTACTTTGTGACCCGTGAAAAGAACAATTTCCAGTGGGGTCCTGAACAACAACAAGCTTTCAGGCAGATCAAGCAAGAGATTGCACATGCCGTGGCTCTTGGAGCAGTCAGGACAGGACCAGAGGTAAAGAATGTGCTCTACTCTGCAGCTGGAGATAAAGGTCCCTCCTGGAGCCTCTGGCCAAAGGTGCCTGGTGAGACGTGAGGGCGACCACTGGGTTTCTGGAGCCGAAGCTACAGAGGTTCTGAGGCCAATTCCACCCCTGAGGAGAAGGAAATCTTAGCAGCCTATGAAGGCATACGAGCAGCTGCAGAGGTAATTGGTCCCAAAGCACAGCTCTTCCTGGCACCCCAGATGGGACCCCAGCATGCAAAGTGTAACTGGATAAGGGAAAAAGGGGGTAGGGTTTATCCATTTTAGGGAAAGGGTGGCCAAAAAAGGAAATACTGCAATGCAACAAACTTTGGCCAATCAGGGAGCGGGGTCTAAGGATACAGACATCAAGGGGATTTTTCATCAAACAATTTCAGGGGACAAACAAGGGAAAAACTACAGTAAATGTTTAGACACAACCGTAAAACTGGAAAGGCTTTGGGTCTGAACTTCTTGACAACTTCATCCAGGGCTTTCATCCTCTGGAGGGTCACACATTTCTTGTTGTCTTCTCCAGCTTTCAGATTCAGCAATGTCCTCACTCCCGACAGACCAGGGTCCCCTTTCCAGAGTAATGGAGGAGCACCGGGATTTTTTAATCCAAAATTCCCGGATTGGAATGAAATGCTCTGGAAAGGCTCTGGAAATCATTCGGTGTTCACAGTGAGTCTCTGGTTTCCCATCCCCTGCTTCAGATGTGAAAACATGTTCCTTGCAGTCGGAATGTAAACTCATGAGCTCCATTAAACTTGAGCACTATATCCCATCATCCAGATCATCAAGGAAGATGTTCACCAGGAATTGCTGATCACTGGCCTCCAGCTGGATGTTGCACTCCTGATCACCACCCCGGCCAGCAGATTTCAACCAGCCTGCTGTCTGCTCATCCAGCCCATACTTCATGGGCTTCTCTGTGAGGGAGCCCTGTCTGTGTCCACTAGTACACACATTCATTTGGATTTTAAACAATCAAACAGAAGTGAGAGTTTTAACAGCAGAATTATTTTTCAAAGGGATATAGAAGGGTAAGAGTTTTTAATTTTAATGATCATGTTTTACATGATGCTAATTGACCTCTAGTAGAAATGAGAGAGCACCTTAAGAGACAAATCTACATTCTCTATTTATGCCCCTGAATTACAGGTATGGCTTTGATGGAACGAGTGCCTTCAAGCTCCATTGGCAGGCACTGTTTGAAAACTATTTGGGTGATTTTTGATAAGAAATGAAAGATGCAACAGCAGGAAGCCATTCAGCAATCCCTGACAAGGGAGGTCCACTGTCAATTGCTGGGAGGGCCCCCACCTGTTTCTTTTAATGGTGCTCCCAAATCCCACCTCTTGGGCCTCCCATCCCATCCTTTTTGGTCCCCTCAGGCATCTCCTCCCCAGGATCTGCTCTGTGTCCTACCCAGGGTCCCCAAACATCCTCCCACTGATCATTCCCAAAGCTTTTCTTTCCATCCTTCCCCTCAGACCTTTGCCTTTCATCCAGGTCACTGCCCTGGTACCTCCCAAGACCATTCCTTGCCTCCCTCTCCACTCCCAACCATCTCCCAGTGCCCTCGTTTTTGTCCTCCTCCATCATCCTCCTCCTGTCCCCACCAAGCCTCTCCCTTGCAGTCCCCATGTCCCTACACTTGAATTCCTTTCCCCTCCCCTGCATCCCACACAGGGCCCCTTCAACACCCCAATCCCAGTCCCGTGGGCTCCCCAGTTCCCCCCAGTTCAGCATCTTTGGGTCCCCCCCAACCTCCCCCCACCCTCCCTGCAGGCCCTGAATTCCCCTGGCTCTCCTTGTCTCCATCCCCACCCTGGGCCCTGCAGGCACAGGGGTTGGAGGTGAAACTGGGGGCAGTGGGAGCAGGGGGAGCAGAAGGGATTTTCCCCCTCAGACGGGGGCAGCCCTGGGCTGGGGGGCTGGGGACCCCCGTGTCCCTCCCCCAGCCCCACAGGGGCCAATCCTGCTTAAACCTTTGCTCTCCTTGCCCAGGCACTCTTGGCAGGAACCCAAAATGATCTGCGGGAGGTGAGTGGGCCGGGGGGACTGGAGGGCATCCAGTCTGGGAACTGGGGGACACTTTGGTCCCCCCATCCCTCGCTGGCACCGGGGACATCCCAGTGACCAGCCAGGGCTCCTGGTCTCTCTCCAGCTGCATTTAGTGGACGTTGGGATCCTGAAGATGGCTCAGGTGGGTACCAGGAGTTCTGCCTGAGTTGGGTCCTCCCCTCACATGGCCATGACACTTCTGGCCATCCCAGTCTGCCCCAGTATACCCCAGTGCACCTTCCCCAAGGATCCCATTTCTTCCCCCAGGCTCCCAATACATCCCACTGCACCCAGTGTGTCCCTAACCCTGTCTTTGTCCCCAGCCCCCTGTGGTGGAGAAGGTGGTGGGTCCTGTTGGTGAGAAAGGCGTGGCTGCATCCCTGGATGGCTGAGGTGAGCAGTGCCTGCAGGGAGAGGGGTCAGGACAAGGCCCCTCTCATGTTGCAGTGGACTTTGGGGGTGACGTTTGGGGCTCTGTCTTTCAGGACTGGAAGTGGTGGTGACACCCGTGCCCTGTCCCCCTCCAGTGGCATGAGGAGATGATCATCCCCGGAAGAACCCCCTGATTTCCCTCAGAGCCCAGGGGCATTTCCCCAGAATGATCAATAAATCCCTTCAGCAAAGCTACTCTGCTTGATCTTGTGTGTGTGTTCCCATCTCCATGGGTGTGTTCCCATCTCCATGGGTGTGTTCCCAACTCCATGTGTGTGTTCCCATCTCCATGTGTGTTCCCATCTCCATGGGTGTGTTCCCAACTCCATGGGTGTGTTCCCATCTCCGTGCCTGCATTCCCGTGTCCCTTTCCCCTCCTTCTCCAGCCCCTGCACACCCGGTGCCTCTCTGGCCGTTCCCCTGCCATGAGCAGAGAGGCTCAGGGGGCTCCTGGGGGTCTCTGCACACGAGATCCCCTTCACCCCCTCCATGTGCATCCTGAGCAGTGCAGGTTGGGGCATCGTGGAATGTCCCTGCTGGGGGCTGGGACAGGCAGGGGGCACACGGGGCAGCCCCTGGAGCACCTGGACCTCCCCTGTGCTCTGGGAGGGATGGGAAAGGGGATCAAAGGAGCCAGCGGGTGTCAAATGCCCCCAGATCTCAAGGGCCAGGCTCGGGGCTGAAGGGATGGAGAGCAGCCCTGCATCCAAGGCCATGGGGATAGTGGGGGATGAAAAGCAGGATGGGAGCCAGCAATGGGAGCTCACAGCCCACAACCCCCCCGTGTCCTGGGCTCATCCCACAGCGTGGGCAGCAGGGGAGGGGGGTTCTGCCCCTCTGCTCCGCTCAGCTGAGACCCCCCTGCAGTGCTGCCTCCAGCTCTGGGGCTGCCTCAGGGTGTGGTTTTCTGTTGAGGAGGAAAAGGCAGGACTGAGTCAGGTCAGACTCTATTGGCAAAACGTGTCTCTTTTTAGGAAGACCTCTCTGCATCCTCCTCCCCTGAGCTCTGGGTTTTGCTGGCTGATGGGGGCTTTGAGAGCAGGGACCCTGTGACAGGCTCCCGAGGAATCCTCCTTGCTGTGAGAGGCAACTCGGAACACGGGGTGATCCGAGATTAAATGTGCCTGTGACACATCAAAGCGTTTCCAGCCCTGCTGTTCACAGTTTGCCCAACTGCAGAGCAGAGCTGAGGGGATTTGCTGTGGTTTTGTTACAGTTTCACTTGGCACATTTAGAAGTAAATTTGGATGGCTGAAATCCCTGACATTTCTGATGTTCTCCAAGTGAAATCTCGTGGGTCCTGGGAGGCAAAGGGATGGTCTCAGTGCAGAGAGAAGAACTACGCTGGCCATCACTCCTGTTCTCAGCCGCCCCTCGCTGGCAGCTTGGAGCTGAGGGAGGATCACACTAAGGAGCTCCTTTAAAAAGAGACAGGGCCTTTCTGGGAGCAGAGGAATCTGGGCTCAAAGGGCAGATTGACAGACTCCTTGTCTTTTCTCAGGGTGCCTGATTAGGATCTCCTCTTTCTTCTCCCAGACTGCTGCACAGAGGGATCATTGCAGCTGCCCAGAGCATTTCTATGGCTCTACCACCGAGGTGTCCTCTCCATGGGGATCCCAGACAGCACAGAGATACTATGGCAGAGCTGTGCCCTTCTGGAGGACACCCTGCAGGACACCCGGGGAAGCAGCTGAATGTCCTGAAGTTGCCTGGAGGGCACTTGGGCATTTTGCTCCCACAGACACATCCCCACAGCAGCACCCAAAGGGTTTGTGTCTGGACAGGAACCTGCCACCCCAAAGCCCCTGCACTGCCTGAGAAAAGCCAATGGTGAGAAGAAGAACAGCCCAGACAACAGGGGATGGCAGGGAAATGCCACAATGCTGCTGCCAAGGGAGGAGGGACACACAGAGAGAGATGGAAATGGGGGCCTTGTCCTTGCCTGGGCTCTGGCTGCTGCAGGGCAATGCACAGCCCAGGGGCCATGGCCTGAGGGCACAGGCTCTGCTTAGGCTGGGAAAGGAGCCCAGGGAGGAGCTGCTCAGGGAAGGGGTCTGTGCCACAGGGACAGCAGGGAGGGGCCCACATCCCCCTGCCCAGCACTTGTGGCAGCAGCTCCCTGTCCCTGCCTGCCTCTCTCTGGGTGAGGAGCTGTTCCTGCCAGCAGCCCCTCCCTGTGCCCAGCTCAGCTCCCTGCCAGTGCTGCCAGAGCCATCCCCAGCCCAGTGCCCAGGGGCAGCTCTGCCTGGGCAGGGGCTGCAGAGCAGATCCCAGAGCCCTGCGGTGGCTGGGAAGGGGGAGGTGTTCTGGGGGGATGTGCTTCCTGAGAAGGGCCCCTGGAAACGGTAGGAGGTGTGAGGAGCCCTGTGAGGAGCCCTGAGCCTGCAGCTGAAGGGCTCTGCCCAGCCCTGCCCTGCCCTGCCCAGCCCTGCCCGGCCCTGAGGGGTCACTCCTTCCACCCACCCCTTCTCCCCCAGCCCCGTGGCAGCTCCTTGGCCGGGCTGAGAGCTGACCCTGGCAGGCAGCAGAGTCCCTGCCCCAGCACACAGAGCCCTGGGGGCAGGACCCTGCTCTGCACCACAGCCATGGGCACCCCTGGCTGCACCCCCACCTTCCCACCCCACAGCCAGCCCTGGTACAGGGAACCTTCTTGCCCTGGGCCTCTGAGGGGGCAGCAGCAAGTCCTGCTCTGCAGCAGCTTCTCCTGCTGCACCCCAGGAAATCCAGCAGAGCCATCCTGGCAGCTCCTGCCACTGCTGGCATTTGGCAGCTGGGAGAGGCACTTGCAGGAACTCCCCTGCACTGCTCTGCAGCCACAGCCTGACCGTGGCAAAGGGCTGGCAAGGTTCCTGCCCTGAGCAGCTCTGCCCTGTCCTCCCACCCCAGGATCTCTTGAACCTCCTGCTCCCTTCTCCTGTCTGCCCTTGCTGCCTGCAGCTCCTGCCCTGCTCTGCCATATGGCCACTTCCCCTGCACTGCAGCAACTGAGAGTCCTGCTGAAAGATCCTAGAAGCTGTGGGATGTGGCAGCTTTAGGAGATCCCTCCAGGAAGGGAAGTTGAACTTTCCTGCAGCCAGAGAAATATTCATTCAAATCCTGTGAAGGTTTCTCCCATAAGTGAGAGCTCAGTCCCCTCCCAGCCCAGGCTGCCTCTCATCTCTCTGCCTTCTCTCCTGTGCCCTGGGTGCTGCAGGCAGTGCCCTCAGCCCTGCTGGGCTGGGCAGAGGAGCTGCTCCTGGGCAGAGCTTGCCAGGAGCTCCCTGTGTGCCAGGAGCCCGGCCCAGCTCAGCAGCACAGCAACAGCCCCAGGCAGCACTTCTGCCCTTCAGGGATCCCTCCAAGTGTCCCTGGGGCTCCAGGGGACCCTGCTGGGACACAGCTGAAGGAAATAATGATGTTCCTTCTCTCAGCTGGGCACAGACACTTCTTTCAGCAGGGTCATTTCTCCAAACAGACACTGAGTTAAATTCAAGATTCCCCTTTTCATGTCCCATCATTAGACAGGAAACCCAGACAGTGCCCAGGAGGGATCTCCTTCACCCCCACTGAGGGAAGGGACTCAGCTGAGTCAACAGAGGTGTCTCCTTGTGGCTCTGCAGACCTGGGGCCAGAAGGACACTCAGCTCCCTCCACAGCCCCCATGGGGTGGGATTCCTCCCGCCCCAGTTCAGGGGGCCCAAAACAGGCACCTGCAGGTGACTCCTGTTGGGGCAGATGACACTGCAGAGATAAGAAATTATCTTAGCCAGAAACCATGGAATTAAAAGACAGACAAGAAAAGCTTGTTTACATATACCACCTGATATTTTTATACTATCTTTTAATTAAGCAGACTTGCTGTCTCCATGAAAATCCTTTTACCACCTTGTTTACCCCATCTCCTGTTGTAATTGTGATAAAGAAATATCTGTTTATCTGTTTGAAGAAAATTATCTCCCTGCACTTCCTGGACCCTCAACCTCAAATGTGAATACAATGTATGTCCCCCCTTCCCTGAACCCTATATATAGCTAGAGTTGTGTCAAATTCAGCTTTGTAACCACAAAGTGGATCATGCAATTATTTAAACCGTCTTAGACTCCTTGTCCCACCTCCCGTGGGAATGAATGAAGACCAAAGCCAGGAGTGACCTGCTGGGACACAAAGCCCTGGTCACTTCTGAGGGGCCAGAGGTGACCGAGATTCCTGCTGGGAACTGCAGGCTGCAATGGAGCAGTTCCTAGGCACAGGGCAGCAGCTGTGGGATCTTCTTGGAGGCTGCTGGGACATTGCTTTGGCCAACTTCAGTGGCAGAAGGGGCCCACATGTAGGACAGGGGAACCTGTCACTGTTCCTCCTGTCCAGGGCAGCCCACAGAGGTGCTCAGCTGAGCAAATGCAGGGAGGGAGGTCTCTCTCCTGTTCTTTATCAGGGTATTTTCTACACATCCTTAGAGTACAATGGCAGTTGTCTCATGGACATCCCTTCATTGCTGAACATAATTCAGGGCAGCTGAACCTGAATTTAGTACCCAAAGAGGGGCCTGTAGTGCCAGGGGAGGTGCCAGGGCTCTGCAGCACAAGTGCAGCAGCTGCCATGGACAGCACAGGGCCTGTGCAGGGACCCCGTCCCCATTCCCAGCAGTTGTGGGACAGGCACCACCCAGGGCTCCTCAGACACATTGGGGGCCTTTGGGGCAGGGAGTGAATCCCAGCCCTGCAGGGACATAAGGTCTGGCCCTTCTCTATCCAGCTGGTGCTGGGCAGTTCCTGAATACAAAGCTGTGGTGGTTTGGGCTGGGCCTTCCTTGGAGACCAGTTTGTAACCAAGGAAGGGTCCAGATTTACCCAGTATTCCCTACGATTTTTACGTAAGCCAGACTATAAGAAGAAAGGAGGAGAGGCCTTGGCTCTTTCCTTCCAGCTTTGGAGGTGCAGGTTCCCTGCTGTTGATCTGCCGTGTTGGGGAGCGAGGCCTGGTTGGGCCTTGCCGACCTTGGCAGACGGAGGCTGCCGGCGATCGTTCCGGAGCGACTCTCGGTTGTCCCAGGAGAGTAGTGAGCTATTTTCTTTGCTAACTCTTTTAGTTGTTAGATATTGGGTCACTAATTGGGATATCTATATATTTTATTTTAGTTTTGTTCCTTTTTTCCCTTCCCCCTTCCCTTTCCCTTGTGAAATTGTATATTTTATTGTGTATAATTGTATATAAGTGTA